GTTCTCACTTATTGGTGGGAGCTAAAAATAAATAAATAAATTCACACACACACACACACACACACACACACAAAAACGGTGGGGGGGAAGAAGACATAACAACTACAACTCCTTGAAGTTGATACAACAAGCAAACAGAAAGGACATTGTTGGGTGGGAGGGAGGAGAGGGAGGAGGGAGGGAGGTTTCAGTAATGGGCCACAATAATCAACCACATTGTATATCGACAAAATAAAAATTTTAAAAAAAAAAAAAGAAGAAGAAGCAAGAGCACTGCAAAAATAAATAAATAAATAAATAAAAATAAAAAAATAAAAATGAACCTATAGTTTTGTGTTTGTGCACAGGGGAGACAGTATTGTTTGCTGGGAGCATAAAGAGGCCTTCTGGAGTGCTGGAAAAGTTCTATACCACGATCTTGATGGTGGTTATATGGATATATACGTTCGTAAAACTTCAAGCTTTGCACTTAAGATTTGTGCCCTTTACTGCTGGTATGTTCTCAATGAGAATTCAAAGAATAAACAAATTAATATTCTCTCCTCATCTAAAACTACTAATAAGAGGAAGGCCAGACACAATGTGGGAGAGAATATTTTTCACACATGTAAACAGTGGCAGGTTTCGACACAAAAGTAAAAAAAGGTAGACAACAGAAAAAATGAACAAGAAAACTTAAACAGGCATTTTCCCAAGAAAAAAATCCTAAATGGCTAGTACACATTTGTAAGGTTACTCTACTTTATTAGTATTCAAGGAAATGCAAATTAAAACTACAAGACACTACTTTATACCCACTAGAATAGCTAAAATTATATTAGCTTAATACCAAGTGTTGGCAAAGATGCACAGCAATGAGAACTCACATACACTTCTGATGGGAGAACAAATCGCTACAACCCCCTCAAAAAACAATTTGGCTTTATCTATTAAAGTTAAAAATATGCAGCAATTCTACAAATAGGTCTTTACCAAACAAAATGCAAGTATATGTGCAGCAAGAACCTTGAACAAGAATTTTGAAATAGGCAAGATCATAATAGCTTCAAACGGGAAACCCAAATGCCCATCAACAGAAAAATGGATAAACTGTAGTATATTCACATAAAAAGGTACCTACAGGAAATGCATGAATGAGTTGCCTACATAATTTTAAGTAAAAGAAGCTAGACACAAAAGAATACACATATCTGATGTATGCAGAGTTTGAAAATATGTAAAACAGAACTACAGTGGTAGAAATTATGATAGTGATTATTTCTGAGAAGTCAGTGGGTGGTGATTAGGAGAATGCATGAGGAAGGCCTCTGGGGTGCTGACAATATTCTGTTTCTTGACCTGGGTGGTACTTACACAGGTGTAGCTCTATGATCATTTAGTGAAATTTACATTTGTTTTCTATGCTTTCTCTGTATGATTTTCAATACAACAAAAGTTTAAACAAATAAAACAAAACAAAAACAAAATCTAGCTATGTTTATTCCTAACTTAGAGGGCTGGAATACTTTTTTTCTCAGCAAAAACATAATGAATCAGTTAGAACTTTGATTGTTAAGTTTTGGGGATGAAAAAGGCTTACTCTCACATCCTTAAGTACAAAAATATTAGTTTTCACAACTTATATGATTCATTTGCATTAATAACTCTGTACTCCATTTTTCCATCCTGTAAGTAAATCTCAAAAAACATAATCAATTCCTGTTAGCCTAAGTTCAAATTTCTCAGCATGCCATTAGAAGCCTTCTAACTTTCAGAAAATGCCTTCTAGTTTCTAGCTGGATCCATCCAACCAGTAGAAAATTATCTACCCCTTGGTGACACCTCCAACTCTCCATTCCTCCCAGACTGGCTTCTAGCCAATCCTCACTCAGTTATCCACCTGTGATTGTCTTTTTCTCATTCCCAACAATCTAAATTTTAAACAGCCTTCAAGAATCTGTTCAAGTCCTACCTCCTCGCCAAAGCCTAAATAATTAAGTATGTAAATAATGTTTTTATGTAGTTTTTGTTTGCTTTATCTCTTCTAAGACTTAAGACTTATGTTTCTTAGTGCATCAATTGCAATGCCTAATTCACTTAGAAATATGGTAAAAGCCTGATAAACACTTTATGTCTGTATGTGGCTATATGGCAGGCTAGAGATAAAGAAGTAACAAAAAGCCAACTACTCTTCCATGGTCCCTAAAGGCACTGGTGCTCTAAAGGCTTCAAGCTCCAAACAGAAGTTTGGCAGTTAGGGAGCTGGGAATTTTCATTACATACAATGGGTAATGGGCACTGACATGCAAAATTATAGGGGAAAAGCAAAATACAACCAGTTAAAAATAGGAAAATTTGGATTATAACAGAAGTTTAAATGCTCAGATACACAGAATACCGTGATGGTTAATTTTAGGTGTTAACTTGACTCGATTAAGGAATACACAGAAACCCAGTAAAGCATTATTTTTGGGTGTGCCCATGAAGTTGTTTCTACAAGAGATCAGCACATATGTCTGAGTGGACAGAAAGAGAAAGATCCATCCTCAATATGGGTGGGCACTATCCAATCCACTAGTGGCCTGGAGAGAACAAAAACAGAGGAAAAGGTGAATCTTCTGCTCTATTTCTGCTGGAGCTGGGATATGCTCTTCTCTCCTATCTGTGGACATTTGAACTCAAAACTCTTCAGCCTTTGCATTCCAGGACTTACACCAGCGGCACCCCTGGCCCCCAAGACTTTGGCCCTGAACTGAGAATTACCCCATCAGCTTCCCTGGTTCAGAGGCTTCCAGACTTGGACTGAGCCACACTACCAGCATCCAGTTTGCAGACGGCCTATTGTGGGACTCCTCAGCCTTCAAAATTGCGTGAGCCGATTCCCCTAATAAGTATCCTCTCATATATTTATATACATATCCTATTGGTTCTGTCTCTCTGGAAAACCATGACTAATTCAAATATTCTTATGAATCCCAATGACTTCAGAAAGAGATTTTAATCATAATTTGAGCAAATATCAATGTCTTTAAAATAATGTTAAAAATAGCCTTGTTCAATATTTTGGATATCCTAATAACCTCTGATGAGACAGTGCTTTCAAAAAAAGTGAACAAGTAGAATGAACCAAAAAGTATCAAAACTGAATGACTGGCTAATCTATGAGGAACATTAGCAATCTGGTCTGATATGACAAATTAGGATGTGGTATCTGAAACAAAAAACAATTAGAAAATGTATAAAGTTTGGGGCTGGCCCGTGGCTCACTCGGGAGAGTGTGGTGCTGATAACACCAAGGCCACGGGTTCGGATCCCATATAGGGATGGCCGGTTCGCTCACTGGGTGAGCGTGGTGCTGACAACACCAAGTCAAGGATTAAGATCCCCTTACCGGTCATCTTTAAAAAAAAAAGAAAATCGGGCCGGCCTGTGCTGATAACACCAAGGCCATGGGTTCGGATCCCATATAGGGATGGCTGGTTTGCTCACTGGCTGAGCGTGGTGCTGACAACACCAAGTCAAGGATTAAGATCCCCTTACCGGTCATCTTTTTAAAAAAAAAAAAAAAAAAAAAAAAAAAAGAAAGAAAATGTATAAAGTTTGTTCACAATTTATTACCAAAGCTAAGTCTTACTAAAACAGAATATCTTTAATTGAAGTATTCTTAAGTGAACCCATGTTTACATTAGATTCCCAAAGTTCAGCAAATACTGGCATGTGTTATCACTTCAGAAATTCTTAATGAAACCAATGGTTGACCTTGTATTTACAGAAGATCCCCTAAAAGGGACATTAGTAGCATTTAGTCATTGTTGAAAAAGTACATGTCACTGAAATGTTAAGTTAAAAATCCAGAGAAATTTCAACATACGTGAGCTTTATGATAAGGGTTGTTGTCTTTGATTCCTGGCAAATATCTACGTCTTCCCAAAATGGTCTGAACAAACCCATCTCTTTTACAATTCTTCACTGTCTCTTTCATGAAATGATTAATCCCTACAAAGAAAATACAGAAAAACTTAATTACAATCAAAGTCCATCTTTCCTTTCATTCACTGGTTTCAATATAATGAAATATATCAAAACCCCACCATGATTCTTAACACTAATATCACATCATCAAAACTATGCATACAAACTTTTGTTCACTTTTTCTAGACTCAGAAATTTAGAAACAAAGAGTTTAGAAATGACATAATCTAACCCTATCTTTGTTTTATAATCAACAACAGTAATAAAAAAACAGACAGGAAACTAAATTCCAGACAGAGAAGGTACCTAGGTGTTTTTACTCCAGGGTGTTAACACTATTCCACACTACTTTTCACAGATTTCTTTGCTTTGATCATGTTAGTAATATTTTAATGTTTGATCTTATCATTTCCAGGCTTAAAACATTCCCATAAGCTCCTTGTTACCATCTATGCTATGATCCAAAGTAGGACCTTATAGAAATTAATGCACGAGTTATAATAAATATTTCACTAGGAACATATCTGACCTACTTCGTAAAATTCAGAAAGAGTATTGCATAGTGCAGTATTAAAAGGCATTCATAGCCCCCAGACCAGCATTTGTCCTTCGCAATCTAGGTCTGTTATGATGTTTTATGGATCTCCAGGATGTATCCTTTGCTTCAGGTAAGTCAGTCTCTTCACTGCTCTTTCCTGATCCTGAACTCTCCTGGAACATTCCTTCTCTATGCACTTTATAATACAACCAGGTAACAGACACCATGCTGATCTATCTTTATTCATATGCACAGTCTCTGCCTTCTCAGAGCTCTGTTCATTCCAAGTAATAAACACTAATGTCTCCCAAATGAAAACCCTTACTGGGGGCTTTCTATTGTGTGGATGGCACAGGAAAGATACCTGGGAAGACGAAGGGTGAAAAAGAGAAAATGCTGCCAAGTGAAGTGCTGGTGATATCTGACCACTAGCAAAGGAACTTCAGAAAGCAATCAGGCTCTCATCTTTTTTCTTTTTAGAATTACTATGATGCTGCTGGGTGAAGAGCAAAGAAAAGGATGTTTGTGAGGTCCCACTTCTACAAATTTTCTCACCTAACTCCTATAGGAGGACTTCAAATATTCAAACTGTAAGAAGTACTTTTTAAAAAAATCAATTCTGAGGTAAAATTTACATACAAGAAAAAGCACCCACAAGTGAACAGTTGATGCATTTTACAAATGTACACACCCCTATAGTTTCTACTACAAGATACGAAACTTCCCCTTCTTTTACAGTCAGCTCCCCATTACCAGCCTCAGACACTCAGTGACCTGCTTTATGACACTATATCTTAGTTTCTCATGTTCTTCAATTTCAAAAAACTTGAATTATACTATATGTTATTTGTGTTTGACTTCTTTAGCCAAGAAAAACATTTTCAAGATGTTTTTAGTCCGTTTTGTGTTGCTATAACAGAAATACCTGAGACTGGGTAACTTATAAAGAAGAGAGGTTTATTTGGCTTACAATTCTGGGACGGCTGCATCTGGCATGGGCCTCAGGTTGCTTCTACTCATGGCGGAAAGTGGCAGGCAGCCAGCGGGTACAAGCAGATCACATGGCGACATGAAGCGAGAGAGAGAGAGAAGGTGCCAGGGTCTTTTTAAGCAACAAGCTCCTGCGAGAACTAAGAGAGCGAGAACTCACTCATTAATCCCCCCTCCCCCCAGGGAGAGCATTAATCCATTCATGAGGGATCCGCCCCCATGAAGCAATCAGTTTCTACCACTGCGGCACTGGATATCAAATTTCCACATGAGTTTTGGAGGGGACAACACATCCAAACTCCATCATTCCGCCCCTGACCCCCCAAACTCATGTCACTCTCACATACAAAATACAATCATTCCATCCCAACAGTCCCAGAAGTCGTAGCTTGCTCCAGCACCAACTTAAAAGTCCAAAGTCCAAAGTCTCATCCGAGACCAAAAGCAAAAGTCCTTCCAGCTTTGAACCTGTAAAAGTCAAAACCAAATTTACCTACTGCCAAGACACAATGGTGGAATAGACATTGGGTATACATTCCCATTCAAAAAGGGAGGAATAGGCCAAAAGAAAGGAAAAACAGGCCCCAAACAAGTCCAAAACCCAGCATGGCAGACATTATGTCTTAAAGTTCCAAAATAATGTTCTTTGACTCCAAGGCCTGCATCCTGGGCACAACTGGGCATCTGGGCCCCCAAAGCATCAGGCAGCCTTGTTCTCACAGCTCTGCCAGGTACAGCCCAGTGGGCCACACTGGTGCCTGTGGCTTTTCCAGGCCTATGTTGCAAGTTACCAGTGGCCCCGAAGTTCTGGGGTCCTGGTGGCAGCCCTGCTGCCTTGGCTCTACTAGACATTTCCCTGGTGGGGCCTCTCTGTGGGTGCTCTGACTCCACTTTTCTGCTTGGCATTGGTCTAGTAGATGGCCTCAGCAGTGGCTCCGCCCCTACAGCAGGTCTCTGCCTGAACCCCCAGGCTTTTCCATACATCCTCTGGAATCTGGGTGGAGGCTGCCATGCCTCCACTGCTCACATGTCCTGCTGGCCTGCAGACTTAACACAACATGGATGCCACCGATGTTTCAGGCCTCTACTCTCCAAAGTTGCTGCACAAACCACACTTGGGGCTGCTGCAGCTGGAGCAGCTGGGACGCAGGGAGCAGGATCCTGAGGGCAGCTGTGCCCCAGCTCTGTCCTCCAGGATAACTCAGTCCTTCTAGGCCTCAGGGCCTGTGATGGTTGGGTCACCCTTCCAGACTTCTCAAATGCCTGCAGGGCTTTCCTCTCATTTTCTCCACTATTAGCATCTGGCTGCCTCACCACCAAGATAATGTCTTTAGCAACAAGTTTATCTGCTTCACCCTTGCAATGTTCTCTGGCTCTCTGCTTCTTTACCGCATAGCCAGGCTGCAAAGTTTCCCAATCCTTATGCTCTGCTTCCCTTTTAAATTCTGGCTTTATGTTATGCCTTTGCTGCCATAACTCAGAGTAGGCTGTTAGAAGTGGCCATGCAGCGTCCTAAATGCTTTGTTGCTAAGAAATTTCTTCTGCCAAATGCTCTGGTTCACAACTCTTAAGTCCCACCTTCCACAAAGTCCAAGGGTGTGTACACAATGCAGCCAAATTCCTTGCTATGGTGCAGCAAGGGTGATCTTTTGTCCAGTTCCCAATAAGTTCCTCATTTCTATCTGAGACCTCATCATCTGCATGGCCTTTACTGTCCACATTTCTATCAGCATTCTACTCGCCACCACATAAGTCTCTAAGACATTCCAAACTTTCCCTCGTCTTTTTCTCCTCTTCTAAGTCCTCCAAACTCCTCCAGCCTTTGCCCATTACCCAGTTCCAAAGCTGCATCCACATTTTCAAGTATCTGTATAGCAACACCCCCCTCCTCGGTACCAATTTTCTGTTTTAGTTCGTTTTGTTTTGCTATGACAGAAATACCTGAGACTGGGTAACTTATAAAGAAGAGAGGTTTATTTGGCTTATGATTCTGGGACAGCTGCATCTGGCATGGGCCTCAGGTTGCTTCTACTCATGGCGGAAAGTGGCAGGCAGCCAGCAGGTACAAGCAGATCACATGGCGACAGGAAGCAAGAGAGAAAGAGAAGGTGCCAGGGTCTTTTTAAGCAACGAGCTCTCGCGGGAACTAATAGAGTGAGAACTCACTCATTAATCCTCCCTCCCTCAGGGAGAGCATTAATCCATTCATGAGGGATCTGCCCCCATGACTCAATCAGTTTCCACCACTGCCACATCGGAGATCAAATTTCCACATGAGTTTTGGAGGGGACAACACATCCAAACTCCATCAAAGAATCATCAAAATATTGTAGTGAGTATCAATATTTAATTCCATTTCCTTGATCAGTAGTTTTCCATTGTAGAGATACACCAAAATTTGTTTGTCTATTCTGTTGATAGACATTTGGCCTAGTTCTCAACATCTGGCTGTTATAAATAAAGCTGCCATAACATTCATGTATAAGTCTTTATTTGGATATATGTTTTCATTTTTCTTGGGCAAACATTTGATAGTAGAATTGCAGGGTCATATGGTAAAGTGTATGTTTAACTTTATAAGAGAGAGCCATACTGTTTTCCAAAGTAGTTTTACCATTTTACAACTTGACCAGCAATGTAAAAGAGACAGTGTTTTCAATTTTAGCTATTCTAGTGTTTTTATCGTGGCAACTCTTTATGGTTTTGTTTTTCCCTTAAGACTAATGATAACAACATTTATTGTGGTCATTCATATATTTGGTAGTGTCTGTTCAGGGCTGTTGGTTAGCTCAGTTGCTTAGGGCAGCAGTGACAACACCAAGGTCAAGGGTTCAGATCCCCGTACCAGCTACCCGTCCCAAAAAAAAGATGTCTGTTAAAATCTTTTGACCTTTATTTTATTGGATTGTTTGCCTTCTGAGCATTGATTTGTAAGAGTTCTTTATATATTCTTTATATATTCTGGATGCAAATCCTTTATTAGATAAGTATGAAAATATTTTCTCCCAGTCTACAGCTTGCTTTTACATTTTCTTAATGGTGTCTCTGAACAATGTTTTTCTTTCATGATTAATTCAGTAGTATTATGATCTAAGAAATCTTTGCCTACCTCAATGTACAAAGATTTCTCTTGTTTTCTTCTGGTAGATACTTTTAAGTCTATGTTCTATATCAAGTTAATTTTTGTGTATGGTGTGAGATAAAAGTTGAGGTTCATTTTTTTCCCATACCAGAATCCAATTATTCTAGCTCCAATTGATGAAAAGACTATCCTTCATCCATTAAATTACCATGGTGACCTTGTTGCAAATCAATTAACCATATGTGTTCAGGCCTATTTCTGGGCCCTGTATTGTGTTCCATTGCTCTCTATATCTACCTTATGCCTATCTTGTTTATTGTGGTTTTACAATAAGTTTTGAAATCAGGGAGTGTAAATCCTCAACTTTGCACTTTTTTTCCTCAAAACATTATTCTGGTTATTCCAGGCCTTTTGAATTTCCATACAAATTCAGAGTCAGCTTGTCAAATTCTACATAAAAGCCTAATGCAATTTGATTACAACTGTATTGAATCTATAGAAAACTGTCATTACAACAATATTGTGCCAACCGATAATTAACAGGGTCTAAACCACATTTATTTAAGTATTCTTCATTTACTCTTAGGATAGCTTTGGAGCTTTCAATATATGTCTTGCACATACTCCGTTAAATTTATGCCAAGTATTTCATATTTTTTTGATGTTATTATAAGTGAAATACTTGTATACTTTTTTTTTTCTTGCAGTATTTCATTGGTTACTTCAGCACAGGAACATAGTTGATTACAAAAGGGCATGAAAGAACTTTTGGGGGTAATGGAGTAATGGTTCCATATCTTAGTTGTGATATAGATGATATGACCACATGCAACTGTCAAAATTCATAAAACTATACACCTGCAAAGGGTGAATTTTATTGTATGTAAATTATACCTCAATAAACTTTCAAAAGAAGAGATAATTTAAGACAATGATACTAAAACTGCTCTATAATAGCAATTATTCTCTCAGAGTTCCTTGTACATTTAATCAATGGTTTACTGTTTCAAACTAAAGCTATCTTTAAAAAAAAGCACTAAGTCAACTCCCAGACTTTATGGGAGTTACAATGGCACAGTAGCATTTACATCACCTATACTTGCTATTCCATCACTGTTCCTTCTTTTACGAAAAATCACATCTTATAAATAAGCATAATAAGTAAGGTTAATGTTATTTGCCCTTAACTATACTGATGAAAACTTCTGATTGATATTTTAATAGAAAATTCCTTAACAATTTTTTTTAATTAATGTAATATGGTAAGATGGTTGAAAAGAATAGCATCTAGAAGATAATTAGCACTCAAAGCTTCTTTACCTGTGTACCTGGATTTGAAAGAGTCAATATAGCAGGCAGCATCATTTTCTTTAATGCCCATCTGTTCTCCCAAAGATTTCGCTCCCATTCCATAAATGATTCCATAGCATATCTGAAAGGGAGTCATCACACTCAATAAGTAAATTAAAAGTCACAACTGCATAAAATGCAAATATACAGTTTATTGGGACTAAAATGTTGGTAAGCTTTTTATTTCATAGTGAGTCAAATAAATGATTAGATCTGTTCTTGCTGTGTTAGATACACAGAGGCTATACACACTCATATTACTTACTGCTATCTGAGATCTCAGCAAGACTCAGGGATTAGATGATTCAGTAGGAAAAAAACTGGTATAGCATAATAAACACCATTAAATCATGCAAGAACTTATTAAACAGAGGCAGGTCTCACTAGCAGGTAAATGTGTAGGTCAGGGAGTCAGAATGCCCAAGTTCTGGCATTCTGAACTTATCCTAAGTCTACCACTTATAGCCCTGTGACCTTAAAACAAATTACTAACTTTCCATGCCTCAGTTTCCTCCTCTATAAAAAGGGGGTAGTAATAAAAATAATACCTATTTCATGGGTTGATTGTAAGGATTCCATATAGGAATATTATAGGACCCCACAGAGGGAATTAAATAGAGAGAACAGAGCTAGTTTTCTAAATAGTGGAAGAAACAAGTGTTGGTGCTAAACTGATAGTGGTGAGAGAAAGTGTTTCATGCCCAATGAGCCAGTCAAGAATTACAGCTGTAAGTAACTAGAAGTGTAAATGTAAGAAAAAGGTAAATGTAAAGCAGGATCTCAGAGCTGGGGCGGGGTGCCTTCAACTCAGCCAACAATCCTACACTCTTGAAAATGGCATCAGATTTCCCATAGGTCATGTGGAAAGGAAGTATTAGTGTTAATCCAGGCCAGGAAATGGAATAAGTGTGGCCTTTGATTTTCTCTGTGCCTAATACAGGTTGAGTATCCCTTATCCAAAATGCTTGGGACCAGAATTAGATTTCAGATTTTTTTGGATTTTGGTGTATTTGCATTATTCTTATCAGTTGGGCACCCTACGTCCAAAAATCTGATAATGCTGGTGCTAAACAAGTTTCGTATTTTGGAGCATTTCAGATTTTGGATTTTCAAATTAGGAATGCTCAAATTGTAGTCATCCAGGAGCAGGAACTAATATGGATCCATTTCAAAGGTACAAGTGCAGCATGAAGTTTCAAAGGTGGATTAGTTAACCAACAGCTTCAAAAAGCTAAAAAGCTATCAGTTATTTATTATAACTCACAGCTCAGCAATATTTATTTTTTTATCAAACATTTACAGAGCACCTTCCATGCAAAGCACTATGGATCAATGCTGTGGGAAAATACAAAAATGAAAACAGGGAAAATTACCTCAAGACACTTACAGACTAGAAAGAGATTTAAAATATATATATATATGTATACGCACAAAAAAATAACAACCACTATCACAAAAACAATATCTACCACTTTTAAATAAGCATCTACTGAGTACCAGTGCATGTGGCTTTCCTGAGACTAAGTGGCCTCAGACCGCAGTCTATCTGGTTCTTTCTATTGCCTCTATGCAGAAAAGTGCAATACCATTAGACAGTCTCAGATGAATGTGGTCTGAAAGATCTGCAATGGAGAAATTGTTCCTCAACTGCAAATAACGAGACAATTTTTTTTTTTGAATTATTAAATTCTTCTCATTTACATTATGTTCACTAAGATCACCTGTTTTGCCTGTTGCCTCAGATCATCCCCAACAGACTCTGGCTCAATCATCTTCCAATCTGCTGCAATGCTCCTGAAAACATCAGCTCCAGTGTTTAACACTTGAATGAGATGACGATCATGGGATAAATGAGCCAAGATCCTCAGTTCAAGCTGGGAGTAATCAGCAGCCAATATTAAACCACCTAAAGTAGAAATGATATTAGAAAAACTAGTAAAAAGTTCTATATAATATAATCCAAGTTCTATATATTGAGCAAGATGACAAAAATTTAGTTCTAACTTAGAACTCTGAGATCATGTGTTCCTTACTCTTAGTATGATGCAATTCAGTTCTGTATCTTAGATCATTTTTTTCCATTTAGCTTTCAACTACAAATAATACATGTAAAGCCACCCCTGGTATCTGTCCTATTACCACTGTGAAGTGCTTTCCTCAGTCTTCCCAGAACACCTGGCATATAACCTAAAATGGTTCTTTCATGCCTCTCTCACATGGCACTGAGTTCTTAGAGATAGGAAACTTAATTTTCCTTTCCATTGCATAGAAAACCTTTCATTTCCTGGTATGTAATAGGCCCTTAACAAGTGGTTATTGAATAAGTAAATAAATTAATTAATGGAAAAACTGGTATCCAATGCATGTACATGTTAAGTAGGCTGGAGAGAAACATGTGCTTTGCTTCAACAATAAAAACGATATTCCACAATAAAATGAAGTGGACAACCAGTGAGGAAGAGTTATTAAGAGACTGAGATAATTTACCTATGGATTAGAAATGAGTGAATTAGAGGGCCGGCCTGTGGCTCACTCGGTAGAGTGCGGTGCTGATAGCACCAAGGCCGCGGGTTCGGATCCTATATAGGGATGGCCGGTTTGCTCACTGGCTGAGCGTGGTGCTGACAACACCAACCCAAGGGTTGAGATCCCCTTACCGGTCATCTTTAAAAAAAAAAAGAAATGAGTGGATTAGATATGCATGGCAAAAAGAAAACATATTTAAAAAATAAAAGCAGGCTCAAAGAAAAAGTAGGAAGAACATATGCAAGTGATATAACAAAGGACTCATTGCTATATTATAAAAAGAACTGCTACAAATCAAGAACAAGACAAAATATAAATAAGAGGCTCACAGAAATAATAAAAATAAAAATACCTTAAGCATATTAAAGAATTCTTAACTTCATTCATAATACGAGAAATCAAAATTAAATCTATAGTAATAAACAATTTTTCTGCACTTTTATTGCAAAAATCCAAAAGTTGGACAACACACTCTGTGGCAAGGCTGTGGATAAAGAAATACTCATGTTGCTACTGGTAATAATGGCAGCCTCCTCCCCAGTAGATGGAAATTTGACAATATCTATCAAAACTAATTAAAGACTTTTATTCTTTTTTTTTTTCCTTTTTGTCTTTTTTTCGTGACCGGTAACGGGATCGCAACCCTTGGTGTCGCGCCCGTACCGCGACCGGCAACGGGATCGCAACCCTCGGTGTCACGCCCGCACCACGCTCAACCAGTGAGCGGACCGGTCTCTACATGGGATCCGAACCCTCGGCGGGAGCACCACCACACTCCCAAGCGCTGCACTCTACCGAGTGTGCCACCGGGCCAGCCCTTAAAGACTTTTATTCTATGACTCAGCAAACAAGCCCACAGATTGCTGTATAGATTATCCACATAAACCAGCTTATGTTCATATTTCTTTAATGTAAGCACAAGTCTCCAGTATAAAAACATTAAATGAAAAAGCAAGGTACATGATGGTATATACAGAATGCTAATTTTTGTGTAAAAAATAGGGGAAGAAAAGATCATGTATTCCTATTTACTTATATCTGCATAAGGAAATACTGCAGGATATAAAGAAACTCATATATGTCTATAAGAGCTGGGGATAGTAGAGAGGGTAGACAGGGCAGGGAAGGAAGCAAAGCTCAATATACACCTTTTACATCATTTTTATTTCTAAACCACGTGAATGAATAACCTACTCAAAAATATATAAATACTAATTTACAATAAATGGCCACAATCTTTATGGCCTTCCTACCACAAGCAACTATAAAACTGGGCAAAATATGTGAAGTAACTGTCTTCAGATGTTAAACAATAAGCAGGGTAGAACTCTAATGACTGAGAAGGGAGGGAAATGTGGTGAGCCACACAACAGTCTCAGGTTTCTGAATGGAGGCACTTTCCATAACGCATTGCAGAGAAGGGGAGCTGAAAAAAGCACTATTTTCTCTGTGAGCTGAGGAAACATAGACTAGAGTTTGGGCCTATGAGGAAGCCAGAATTTGTGAGAACTTGGAGAGAAGGGAGTTATGCATAAAAGCAGCACCAGAAATACGCACAGGAATCACTTTGGGTTTTTGGCCAAATAGTAAGTTGTACAGGGAGAAAGTACAGGGGATCACACAAAGGGGGATCACACTGAAAAAAAAAAAAAAAACTATTACTAAAGAAAGAACAACAATGCATAGCTGTTAGCTGAACAACTACTTGAACAACATATTCTTGAATGCTGAGAATGTTCAAGTTCTGAGCAGACTGAGTGGAGAGATCTTGCTGAACAACTTGGGCACCAAGTAGAGACCGCAGAAAGATCACACCATATGAACAAAACTAACCTAGCCCTAGAGTAAAGGCTATTCTAAACATGTGCTAACAAAGCTTGAAAAGCCTCAAAATGATCAAGCAGATGTGAAAGTAAATTAAGCACCTGCCAGAAGCGGATAGACAGAAAAGACACTTTTTGTCTCTTAATTTCTTTGAAAGATAATAGACTGTTTAAAGTCAAAATAGGAACTATATATCTCAGAGTTTATAATAGTAATAGAAGGTAAATCTACTAAAAGAAAGGTTGGAAATGGAAATCAACTCCTTATATTATGGATGAGGTGGTATAAAATTATTTGAAGATAGACTGTGATGTGATGCATACTGTAAACTCTAAAATATCTAAGATATATAGTTAATAAGTCATTAGGAAAAATAAAATAGAATAAAATAGTCACTTAAAGTTTCTAAAAAGAATTTTTAAAAGAATAAACAGATTAAAAAAAAAGAAATACAAATAACAAGACAGTAAACTTAAATCTAACCATTTATCAATAATTACCATAGAGTTAATGGACTGAAGGCTACATTTAAATGGCAGAGATTTTCAGATCAGATCTATAGATATTTAATTTAAATTCAAAAACATTTAATTAAAGCAGTATAAAATATTGTTGCATTAAACAATTTATTGTTTAGGTAAGAATAAATTGACGGGTGAATGGATAAACAAAAGGTGGTATACACATACAATGGAATGTTATTCAGCTCTTAAAAATAAATTCTGACACATGCTATATAACATGGATGAACCTTGAAGACATTATACTAAGTAAAATAAAACAGGCACAAAAGGAGAAATATCCTATGATTCCACTTATATGAGGTATCTAGAGAAGTCTAATTCATAGAGATAGAAAGTAGAATAGTAGTTGACAGGAGCAGGGGTAGGAGAGTGGTGAGTTACTGCCTAATGGGTACAAAGTTTCAGTTGGGCCAGATGAAAAAGTTCTGCAGATGGATAGTGGTGATGGCTACAGAGCAATGCAAATGTACTTAATGCCACAGAACTGTACATGTGCAAATGCTTAAAGTGGTAAATCTTATGTTGGGTATATTTAACCACAATCTAAAAAAACTATAAATTGTATTTTAACTACTATATCACATAATGTATTACATGGTTTCAGCAGACTGCTGCTGATGAGCATATATCACAAAAGTTTCACAAAGAGCAGAAAATGAAGACAATAATGACTGCTATAAACTCGGCAAAACAAAGGGGAAAGACAGGCTCCACTGTAGACAGAAAAGATTAAAGGACCAGTGCATGTCTCTGAGTCGCACTCGTAATTCAGGCTTTATCAGTGCTTTGAAAAACATTCCCACAGCAATCAGAAGCTCCAAAACTATCAGCCACCTTACCTGGGAAAGGCACAAACGCATGTCGCATGCTAACTGAAAACGGCATTCCTCTGTCTGAGGCTCTCTCCTCCATCTGTGCCTGGTGCCCAGGGTTCAGGCTATAACTCTTCTTATTTTGTCCTCTGTGGTGCAAACAAGATCATCAGCTGGAATGAAGCAGTCTCAAATACACGCAAAGGTATGATTTTCAGTAAAGTCAATATTTCCATCTAAGAAATGTAAAAAACCTTACCTAAAACTCGCTTTAAAGCTTAACAAAGACATTAGACCTCTTTTAGAAAAAACATTCAATTAAACATTAAAACATTTCTGTAATAGCCTTTTCCAAAACCTGCCTCTGAGATAATTCACTTTCATTTAGCTCAACTCAACAAATCTCTTTGACCATATGCAACATAAATTATCTGTGCTTTTTCTTCTCTTTATGTGTATATGGGAGAGCAGCAGGAAGGATGTTGCAGACATTGCCAAACTATTTCCTTTAGTATTTGACACAAATAAGCACACAGTGCTGGTTGATTTAATCAGTGGCCCAGGTTTTCTGCCTTTCATCATCAACTAGCTTCTCTATGGATAGACTCAGGATTTAAAGTGGGTGGTGCCTAGAATAGAAATGGGTGTCTGGAAAATAAAATTAAAATAATTTCATTATTTTGTCTAATATGCAATTTTTAAGCCATGGTATGAATGGTATATTAATACAAAGAAAAAGAGTCTACCTGCGCATGGGAAGTAGGCCTTTGCCTAGAGCTTGGGAAGGTGGGCTTTCCCCTACTAGTGTTGGCATTTTGATCTCAAAATCTCTTGGCACATTCTGAATATTTGGTTCTGTAAAGGTTATTCGTCCTAAAATCAAGCAGAACAGACATAAAATTAGAAGAAGAAAAAAAGACTGCCCTTTATCAGTATTTGTATTTCTAAATTATCTTAAAATTGCATATTCTATTAATGCTAAACTGAAATTTATTTTTAAATGAAATATTTTTCATCATGGTCATGTGGCTAACAATGACAAAACGAATACAAGACCTTTCCAATATATATGAATATATGAACCAGCTATAATAGTATGTTTTACATTAACCCAACATTCTAGAAAACAATCCCATGATAAAAATTGGTCAACTGAACTATTCCTACACTAAAATGAGTACCAGATGTCAGCACTATAACATGTTAATGAGGAAAGACTAATCAAATGGATCTTAGGAAAAATGACTGTTGAAGTCTCTAAAAGCTGGTAATAGTGCCGCCCGTGGCTCACTTGGGAGAGTGTGGTGCTGATAACACCAAGGCCATAGGTTCAGATTCCTATATAGAGATGGCTGGTTGGCTCACTTGGGAAAGCGTGGTGCTGACAACACCAAGTCAAGGGTTAAGATCCCCTTACCGGTCATCTTTTTTAAAAAAAAAAAAGAGCTGAGAATGCACAAGATAGAGAGAAGAGTATCTTAAGAAGAGCACAATTGGGGCCAAAGAAGTAACTAATGTGGGAGACGGAGTAGTGGTGAGAGATGGCAGATGGAACATCACTTTCAGACATTGCTTGGCCAGAGAATGCACAAGATAGAGAGAAGAGTATCTTAAGAAGAGCACAATTGGGGCCAAAGAAGTAACTAATGCGGGAGACGGAGTAGTGGTGAGAGATGGCAGATGGAACATCACTTTCAGACATTGCTTGGCCAGTTTTCTTCATCATCATCATCACTCATCAAGAAAATTAACAATAGTACTGACATGGTTGAAAACCAGAATCAGGGGGTTAATGAATATTCTAGTAAACAGAATGCTTTTTAAAAATGTTTACAAAGCCTTTATTTTCCTCCAAATATTTTATATTTTATTTGTTCACTCATTGGTTGGATTTCACTGAAACATATAAGCACTGCTCAAAAAAAGTTTGTATAATTAATTTTGTTACTGCCGTTTTTATAACACATATATAGCAACACTAAAACTCTGCTTTATGACACTCTTCATGGTAACAGGCACTCTACTAGCTACTATACATATGATTCCACCTTCTTCTGATGAATCAGACATTTTAAGTGCTTTGGAAATTGTTTTTCTGAATAAACCTAATATGATGTCCTTGTTATTTTGTTTTTAGCACAAAATAAGTTGCTCAACCGGTGATAAGTTTTAATATAATTATAATCATTAAACGGCCTGTTTGGTGTTACACAGCTAACAAATAGCAGAGGAAGGTATCCATCACTCTTTTTACCTCAGCACACTGCCTTCTTTTCTATAATAATACATAATACTCAGCACACTGCCCTGGTCTATTGGTTGAATTAATGAGGTACCACCAGCAGGGAAAAAAGAGGGCAAAAATAAATTACAAACCATGAATGTAGCTTAATGAGATGAAATGGCTTTGCTATACTTAGGTAAGCTTATATTCCTAAAACATTACTATAAAATATTTTTATAAAAACTATAAATTATTAAAATATTGTATTTCTAAAATCAATAATAAAAATAGAATTAATTACCTTCTGCTTCATACAAAACAAATAAATATGAAACTCTAGGTTAATTTTGTCTTTTCTAGGTTGATTTTATTTTACAGAAATTTAAGTATTAGTATATGTTTAAAAGTGAGATCTAGGGCCGGCTGGTGGTGCACTGGAGAGTGCGCCGCTTGGGAGCGCGGTGGCGCTCCCACCGAGGGTTCGGATCCCATGTGGAGACCGGTTCCCACTCACTGGCTGAGCGCGGTGCGGGCGCAGCACCGAGGGTTGCGATCCCGTTGCCGGTCAGTAAAAAAGACAAAAAGGGAAAAAAAAATAGCTATTTGATAATAGTAATTGTACTTTTAAGAATCATTCTTAGGGGCTGACCCAGTGGCGCACTGCTACAGTGTGCCGCTTGGGAGCGCGGTGGTGCTCCCACCGAGGGTTCGGATCCCACATACAGACCGGTTCCCGCTCACTGGCTGAGCGAGGTGCGGGCGCAACACCGAGGATTGCGATCCCGTTGCTGGTCCCGGTCCGGTATGGGCGCGACACTGAGGGTTGCAATCCGTTGCC